ATGCTGGCCCAGAAAAGCAGGTGGCTGGTTCCCTGTGAACAGCAAGGTGTTCAGGCTGTCAGCTTCCAATGGATTCCAGGGGGAGTGGCAGCAGGCTTCTTCCTGGAGCCATGTCCAGGCTCAAAGGGTGTCCTAGGGTGATGGCTTCATTCTTGTTGGACCCAAAGTAGCCTCTTGGGGCATTTCGGTGTTAACCAGCATCTTTGTATGTAAGGACAGATGTTGCATCAAGGAGTCACAAAGCAAGCCAATCACGATTCCGTATTCAAACTGTGTGCTTTTAGAGCCAGTTTCGACAGGTGAGTCATTTCTGCCAATGAATGCTTCACATAGTGAACACAGCACATCTTTTTAAAAATTATCTTATCAAATTCATTACATTTTCAAATGAAATTTAAATTATCACCCCAAACAGCTTGCTAACACTACTAGCTGCCTTCTGAAACTGTGATCCAAGGAAACATCACAAATTTTCCTCTGAAGGACAGACCGGCTCTCACAGGGGATATTCCGGGGTTGCATCCCTACACTTTGCCATTTGCCAAATGTTTTCCTGGTATAAATCCACCTTTGGAAGATAAAAGGTTTACTTGGCATATATTTGGCTTTCAGAATTGGTTTTAAAAAGCTCAGACCCTGTGGCCACACCAGCTCAATTCAAATTCTGGCTCTGCCACTTAAATAGCTGTGAGTCTAGGAGGAAGTCACTTAATTTCTCTGTGCCTCGGTTTCCTCAACTGTAAAATGGGGGTGATCAGAGCACGACCTCATAATGGAGATGTAAATGAATCAGTATGTGTAAATATTAAGTAGAACTGTGCCTGGCACATAAGAAGTGCTATGGAAGGGCTTGCTGTATTATAAGTTTCATTATTGTTATTATTATTATTCACTGAGCATCTACTGCATGGTTACACAGGGCCTATAGTGAACGAAGCACAATCCCAGCTCTTACAGAGAGGGGACGACAGCTCTTAAAAGTGAAATCCATCGGAATGTAATTTCAGCTTATGTGTTAGGAAAGAAGCCCACAGGGTGCAGTGATAGGACTGCGCTTCCTGATTACCTCGGGCTGTGAGACGAGGTCTGTCAGGGGAGGCTTCTAGGGGGCAGTGTCATGTTTAAGCCGAACCTGGAGGCTTTGGGGAGGAGACCGAGCTTTCACCCTCCCCATCAGCACAGGTAGTCTCACACTTGCTCAGTGAATGATGATTACGGGCCAGGCTCTCTATTGGTCTTTTTATTTATTTATTTGGTTGCACCGGGTCTTAATTGCGGCAGGCAGGCTCCTTAGTTGCAGCTCGCCGGCTCCTTAGTTGTGGCATAGCGAACTCGTAGTTGCAGCGTGCATGTGGGATCTAGTTCCCTGAGCAGGGATCGAACCCAGGCCCCCTGCTTTGGGAGCGCAGAGTCTTAACCACTGCGTCATGGGGAAGTCCCTCTGTACCGGTCTTTTCAGGTCCTCTCCTCCCGCCGACATCCTGACAGGTGTAAAGGATTATCTCCATGTTACAGCGGATACTCTCAAGGCTCAGAGAGGTTAAACGACTTGCTCGAGATCACACAGCTTATGGGTGGCAGAGCCTCGACTGAGCAGGAGTGTGTCTGATTCTGCAGCTCACTGGGAGCCTTTCTACTGCCTTCTGCTGCCGCCTCTTCCTCCAGGATGCCACCGGGATCAGTTAGACTTGAACCATGTGGCTCAGTACATACACTGTCAGTTCCTCTATGAATAAATCCAAATATAAGGAGGGTTCTACTTAGTTTCGGTAGCCTGAGTGCTCTGCCCTCCAGCTCTGGGAACAGGGAGAAAAGTCCTAGAGGCCCCCTTCTTCACTAGGTTCAGACTGATACCTGACTCTCAGCTCTCAAACTGACAGGTGTGCCCATTGCCATCTTTTCTTCAGAGTGTGTGTGAGCCAGGCGGGCAGGCTGTAGACATGCCCGCCTCCACCGGCCAAGGGGAGCTGACACCTGGGCTACTTATTCTGGAATCATTTGTCCTTCTGCAGAGAGCTACTGTGCTCTAAAGTTCTGTCTGCTGGGGTGAGGGGTAGGGTCCACTAGCTACTCTCTCACACCCAGTGCCTACTTTCCTCGAGCTTGGAGGGCCCCTCCAGGGCTCTGTTGAAAACTGTGGCTCCTCTTTGCACGGCCTTCTCCCGCCCTGGAAGTTGTTATTCATCCTTCATTTTTGGTTATTGATCAATGTGACCATATTCACTTTTCATCTTTCAGAGAAACTCTGAAAACTCATCTGCTCGAAGATCCATCCCGCCCCCAACTTTCCCACTGTCATTAATATATTCCCTTCTATGCCGCTCTGTTGTCATTTCACTTGGACTTTGGAAAGAAGGGAAGGAAACATATGTACTTCATTTCTCAATTACAGTACTTGCCTCTGAGTGTATGTTTTCTAAGATAACGTACTGCTGTCAGCAATAGTGTTCGGTGCACATTTAATGCTTGAAGGCCAAATTAATGATTCATTTTATTAGTACTTCAAAGAAAATGGCAGACACCTGTGGGGAGTTGATTCTTCCTTTTTTACTATTTCCTGTGTGTCAACATCTATGCCAAATGTGAGGGAAAAAAGGTCCCTATGTCTGTGGGTTGATTTCTGTCTCTTCCCCCACCCTACCGCACCTCCAGCTTAATTTACTATTTCAAACTTAGAGCTCAGAATCCGATCCCTTTCTTGCAGTTTTGCTGCACGTTTGAAAATTTTCATAAAACGCTGGACTGTATGTCCAGCTATTATTCTCTGATTTTCATCCTTCCGGTCTCTTGTCCATTGGGTAACTGTAGTGTGTAATGAATTCACAAGAAACTAATTCTTGGAGGTTGCCTTTCCTTGATGATGGAAGTTGAGAGAGCGAGAGAGAGAGAGAGAGAGAGAGAGAGAGAGAGAGAATTTTGAGACTCTGTCCATAATAGCAGTCCATCAATAACAGGGATGAATTCCTCAGAGGCAGAACAGGGATCGATGAATAAAGCAGGACTCTAATAGCTAGAAAGCACATCGCTTTTTTCCCCCAAGACTTTGTCATCTGCCAAAACATCTGACTCCAAAAGCCACCCTAGAGGTTAGCCAGACTTAGCGAGAGGTGGCTAGAAAGGAATTTGGGATCAAACTGCCTCTTCCCTGCCAAGCCCATGGTGTGCAACTGAGGTATCCACCTTCCCTTTCCTGTTCCCCACAGGAGTTGCTGGAGTGTTCAAGCACCTCCAGTCAGTGTCTTGCTGCATTCGAGCTGTTCGGTCATGAGCAGATGACCAGAACCCGAGAGAATGATTGGAGAGTGATAGGTCATGGAGTACGGGAGTGGGTGGACAGGGTGAGCACCGACATCCAGGGAGCCCCGAGGAGCAATCCTATTTGAAAAGACACATTCATAATCATGGAAACCCACTCCATGCTTTGCCTGTGGTGGACACCATTTATATAGATATTCAATACACAAGCCAGACAGGCTAAATTGTAACCTCTCTTCTGTAAATGCCCTAGTTGTTTGGAGTAAAAAAAATGGTTTAGATTAGCACCCGGGCACTCTGACAAAGGTCCGGAGGGAGTTCAGGGACTTGCCAGCATCATTAGCATTTTTTTCTTCTTTTTCCAGCCACACTAAAATATGTTTGCTCAAAACATAGGGAGATGAAAAACTACTGGTAGCCAGTACCTCTTAAAAGAAAAAAAAAAATGTTTTACTTCTCTGGCAAACATACCAATTAAAACGAGGCTGTGTTGTGACAGATTATGGAGCAATTAATGCCTAATTGAGCCTTCTGCTAGATGCTTCTGTGAAAGCCACTTTACTGGGGCACACCTTAGAGCAAAACAAACCTCCAAACTTCCTGCAACACCCTCTGCTCTGCGGAGCCCAGAAACCAAAGAAAACATTTTTGAATCTCCAAGAGTTACACCAAAAGGATTAGCTAAACGGAAAGATCTCGACATTGAAAAATCCTACCGGGGATTTCATAGTTTCTTCATTTGTAAGCAAAATCTATTTTCCACAAGATATTTTTGGTGCAAGCATCCCCTGCTGTCCTGTTCTCTTAGGGTGTACCATTAGATCTTGAGGCCATTCCAGGCAGGTCACGTGACTTGTAAGCATCTCTCTGGTTCCCTCCTAAGTGACTAGTCTCACAGGAGTCAGGGAGTACTAGACTCTTAACTACCAAAGACCTCAAAGTCCTTCCTGAAGCCTTGAATTCTTATTGATAGGATGTGAAAATGCTGTACAGCTGCTTTTTCGAAGAGGTCAGCTCGGTGGAGCTCCCTGCCTGACCTCAGTAATAGAGATATTTTCAGCCCTGCGAGCCGCCTGTGTAAATATAAAAATGTATTAGGCTGCAGAACTGCATGTGTGGGAACGGAACAAGCATGCTATTGAGAGGAAATCACAGGGGGAACACCGGTGTCACTCACATGGGTTTGGTTAGTGCGTGCACACTTTCGATAAATCGTTTTGATTCAGTGGACTGCGTGTTTCAGATGAGCCCATTTCATTTCTGGAACTTATGAGCTCTGATCAGTAAAACCCCAGTCACTTAGTAAGGTGTCTAATAAAGTTTACTTCTGGAAGTTTTAACATTTGAAAACAATCATGTCATTCTTTGTATGACACTCATTTGCCTTAAAAAAAAATGTTAGTGTGAAGTCAATTTTTCAGTTGTTTAATGTGAAAAAGAGTGATTTGTTTAAGTGTGTGAGAGGGAGAGATATATTTATTCAGACCTCTGAAACTAGAATCGAAGAGAATCACTGTAATGAACAGGAAACATGCTCTTAAATGAACTGAGCAATGCTCTCGGAGCGAAATGCTCTAATATCCCTGAGTGTGTTCAGTTTCAGTGGATCAAATCTTTCCCATCTCTGCATCCAAGCTATTTGGCAGTGATCAGATGATCAGAGCTCAAGGAAGTGATTGGAGAGTGAGCTCGCTGCAGCTGCAATGTAGGCTGTTTTCAGGGACAAGGAGCCACTGTTTTCAAACATAGCATCAACATAGAAGTTATTTTGTGGGCTCCAGGATGCAGCGATGGGCTGCACTGCCAGCATTGTTCTGCTTCAGGCTTTTCGTTCTGTGGTCCAGAGGAGCTGTCCACACATCTGTAGACGACGCCAGGAGGAACCATCCCATGAAATTTTGCCTCTGGAAAGTGACGATGAAATGAGTAGACCCAGAACCCTCATCATAATGGTATGGTATCTGTGGTAAAGCAGCCTCCGTTGATTAAACTGTTATTATAGAAATGAGGTTGCCGTTCGAGGTTTGGGTTTTCAGCTTTAGATAAAGAAATGTGTGACCTAGAGTTTACTACTGTGCTTTCCTGTTTGGGGAACATCTTTCAAAATTGTTTCATGTATTATTCAGAGAACTGGTTTTCTTTCTCTTAGATCTGTCCTGAAAATGTGCAGTTTATTGGTCTATGAGAAACTGTCTTCTGCCTAACATTTTGTATGCTGTTATTAACTTTTGTGCAGAAACAGAAAATTTGGAAGTCTTGTTTAATTAAGTGGATTTTATTTTATAACTCAAATTTGAAAGTAGAGCCCCAGATAGATATTTTTATATCACATGTAACCCATCGAGTTGTGTAAATGTTGGTAGTTAGATCTCTAACTTCAAAGTATTTGAGGCCTTTATTTCCGATGCTGCTATGGAAATGCCTTTCCAAAATGCTTAACTTACACATAAAATCAGAATGAAGTTTTTGAGAATTTTGTGGAATGCATGGTGTTTTAATTAGAAAGCTGTTTCTTGCCACTTGTCAAATTACATTTTTGTCTGTGCTTTAATTATAATAGTGTTACTCCTTCTTTGTGTGTCTGTTTGATCAGCAAGAATAAAGTAGAGGTTAGTCTTTCCTTACTTTAGGTTCAGGGAGAGATTTGCCTAGTCACTGAAATTCAATGCTGGGACGGAAGTAGTGTGCTAAAGTTTCCAAAATTGGGGAGGCGTTGAAGTCTGCGTGGTTTCAGCACAATCGACTTTTTTCTCTTAGATTTCAATGTTCAGATATCAAGGATGCAGTAAATAATGAATGATAAATACCTGTTACACTAAAAGTTTTTAAATGAAAGTCATTTGGCTTGGGCTGTGCCTTTGAGTGACAGAATACTAAGCTATAACATTCTATGCCAATTTCTCCAACAAATCAATATCTGGTTTTCAAAAGGGCAAGACTGTTCTTCAACTGTGGGGCTATGATAATCTCTAAGATCATCTAAGATGATCTCTAAGATCATCATTAGTGGGAATATTTTCATACTCATTTTCCCATAAGTTTTCACAAATTAAATTTAAAAGGATTTGACACATTTGTGCTCCAAGTTTAACTCTTAATAGCAGTAACACATTCTATAGCTATGTGTATTACTCATGCCAGCTCAGTCATTAAAACAGTCAGTTTTCCTAATTTTACTAATTAGACTATAAAATTTTGCAGCTAGAAATTTGCCCCTAAAACTGTATTTCAAAGTAATTGAGAAATAAAAAATAATAAATTCACTTAATAACAATGCCCTGTTTTTTTTCAAAGATCCTTTTAATTCATATGATACCTTTACTGACATTAAATGAGGTGATGATGGATTTATTGATGAGGAAAACAGGTTCAGAAAGATCGAATACCTTGTTTATATCACACAGCTGCTAAACGCCAGAGCCTCAGGTCACACTTAGATCAATTATTCCAAAAGCCAATATACTTTTTAACTCTGTTCGTGTCTCTAAGGAAATAATGATAAAACTGAGAAGCGTGAATTTTTATGAGAAGTCTGATGGAAATGTTGGACCACTCAGAGTAAAATGTGCTCATAGAAAGTTATTGTGCAACTTGAAAGTTTCCTCTGGGCCACTTGAAGCTTCACACACTCCACAGCTATTTGTTGCCGATGCGCTATCGGCCAACCACTGTTCTAGGTACTTGGAATCCACCAATGAACAAACCCATCAAAGATCCCCGCCCTAAGTGGCAAAATTTTACTATGATTGTATAGTTTGCAGATCTCATTATGGAATTACTATATTAGGGTTGTGACGCTTAGTGTCCTAACTTAAGTCAATGAAACGATTTCCTATTTTCCAAGATGGTGGTTTGAAACCTTGAATGTGTTTCAAAATCACCTAGGAGTTCTTTTTTTTTAATTTTTATTGGGGTATAGTTGATTTACAATGTTGTATTAGTTTCAAGTGTACAGCAAAGTGAATCTGTTATACATATACCTATTTGCACTCTTTTTAAGATTATTTTCCCATATAGGACATTACAGAGTATTGAGTAGAGTTCCCTGTGCTCTACAGTAGGTCCTTATTAGTTATCTATTTTATATATAGTAGTGTCAGTCCCAATCTTCCAGTTTATCCCTCCCCCCCCTTACCCACTGGTAACCATAAGTTTGTTTTCTACAGATTCTGTACCTCTATTTCTGTTTTGTAGAGAAGTTCATTTGTACCCTTTTTTTAGATTCCACATATAAGCAATATCACATGACATTTGCCTTTGTCTGACTTACTTCACTCCGTATGACTAGGTCCATCCAGGAGTTCTTATTTATACTAATCCTTGGGCTCCTGGCCCCAATGACTCTGCATAAGAATGTCTGGAGTGGAGCTGAGGAATCTGAACTGTTAGCAAACACCCACTGAGTGTTTCTGAGAATCTCAGATTCTGAGATTCCGATGGAGGAGCGTGGTGGATGACGCTCTGAGAACCGGCGCTCCGGAAACTGATCATCTAACCCCCCCACCTTGCATCCTCCTTTAACCTGATACGCTAATCGCCTTCTCACTCTGGCTGCAAGCTTCTGAGCAAACTGATTTTTTATTCTCTTACTTTCCCATCAACCACTAGTCACCAAATTTTGTATTTTGATCGTGTGTGGGTGTGTGTGTAAGAACACAGACTCTAGAGCCAGAGACTCTAGGTTGCAATCCTGAATTCATCCCTTATGGGCTGTGTGACCTTCTGCATACTTTTTGCCTACTCTGTGCTCTTTCCTCCTCTGTAAGGTGGAGATAACAGTCCCCTCAGCCCAGAGCTGTGGTGAGGGCTTAATGAGGTAAGGATGTTCAGTGCTTGGAATCATGTCTAGATATGTTATTAAGATTATCAATAAGAAGGATCGGGGTCATCCTAACTGAAAAAGTGACATTTGAGGGAAAGACCTGAAGGAGGTGAAGAGTGAGTCGGACCACTTTCTGTAGGGAAGTGGCTCGGGCAGAAGGACCAGCCAGGGTGAAAGTCCCTGATACGGGAAGAAGCTTGGGGTGTTTGAGGACCAGTGAAGAAGCCAGTGTGGCTGAGTGAGCCAAGGAGAAGGCAGTAGAAGGACGTCGTGGAGGGAACAGGGGACAGGTCACGTGAGGCTTGGCAGGCCATCATGAAGACTTGGGCTTTTTCTGAGAGTGAGAAGGGACGCCATTGGAGGGAGCAGGCACAGAAGTTAGGAGCGTGGGCTGTGGAGCCAGAATGTCAAGGTTTGAGTCCTGTGTCTGCCTTTCACTAGCTGTGTGGTCTTGACTTGTCCTAAGTGCACCTTCATTTCTTCACTGATGAAACGCAGAGAGTCACAGGACCTACTGTGTAGGGCTATTGTGAGAATTCAGTTACTACTTGTAAAGAGCTTAGAACAGTGCCTAGTGGGTAGTAAGTGCTGTGTTAACTATAGGTTTGTTAATTTGGATGGCCTTGAGCAGGGCAGTAACAGGATCTATGGCTGCCAGGGGTCCAGGGTGGAAGCAGGGAGACCATTAGTCAGGAAGCTATTGCAATGATCGCAGCTAAAGACGTGGATGGTAGTTGCTGAGGTTGTGAGAAGTGGGTCGATTCGGATATATTTTAAAAGTAGGACCAGTAGAGTTTGCTTACAAATTGAACACAAAGAGTGAGAGAAAGGGAGGAATGAGGGATGAATGTATGGTATTTTGGTTTTGTTTTTTTTGTTTGTTTATTTTTTGGCCTGCACAACCAGAGGACTGAGTTGCCATTCAGAAGGGGAAGGCTGCAGGGGAAGATTTGGCAAGCTAATCTAAGTTCACTGTAAGACATGTTAAGTTTGAAATGCCTGTGAGGTCTATACTTGGAGGTTTCAAATAGGAAATTGGATATATAGCTCAGAGTCCCAAAGAAGAGTCTACAGAGAAGATATAATGCTTGGCACTGTATGAATACCAATTAATGATTGATGAATGAATACATGACCTCTCCTCTAATTTCCTATAATACTTATAGTGTGTCAATCCATTTGTAGTTAATCATATCTTTAGCTATTAAATTGAACTTGTTTATTTACCTTATTATTCATATTTTTTTTATCCCACTGGTAGGTGGAAAACCCCATGTAGGCAGGAACTAAGTTGGCTTTAGACCCCAGTGGTGCCCAGCACCATTGCTTTTATAGACTAAAAGTTCAGTATCATCAATGATTTGAAATCTTTAAGCAACTGACACCAACTTGAAAAGTTCAACTGTTAAAGCTGCCTTCCTAACTCTTCATTGAAATGTCCAGGAATAAGTTAAGAATGAAGACAGCTACTACAATAAATACAAGGGTTTGAATGTTCTGCAAAAGGCTTTTGCACTCAAGTCATCATTATATCAAAGAATCTCATTGCTGAGTCCAGGTCCTGAGTCTTCATATAGAGATCAGCTTTGGGCTGGCACTGATTGTAGTTTGGCTGCATAGTCCAAAGTGGAGACACTTGGTACACATCAAAATAAATCATTGTAGGCCCTTGGCCTTTGCAAGGGACACATGAATCCTACCATCTGAGACTATTACAGTGCCTATTAAAATGCAGCCAAATTTAACTGGGAAAAAATGAGGAAATTCCTTCAAAGCTCTAATTTGTCTCTTCAAATATTTTTGCTCTGATGGGAGAATTAACAGGAACCTTTTCATGAATTAGTTTTTCTTACATCCTTTATAGCATATTTTGTTGAAAGCCTCAGACACTAATTTAATTTATGGAGATCTGCTGTTTTCTGGGGAATGTCTATAATTTCTGATGTAATTTACTAATCACCAACCCTGGAAGTTGGCTTCCATTTTAAGGCCTATTTCCTCTTCCCCTCCCTGCCCCCCCACCCCAAGAGCATTTATCCATTTATATGATGCAGGGTAGAGATAAAATAGAAGGAGTACAAGAAGCAAGTGCTAGGCAGGCTGCTGGTCTCTCTCACTATATGCCCAACT